GGAGGAGGAGGAGGAGGATGAGGATGAGGAGGGAGGAGGAGAAGTATGAGGGAGGGACGAACAGGAAGAGGATGGAGGAGGATGGAGGTGTAGAAGGAGGAGGAGGAGCTGGAGGATGATGAGGAGGAGGATGAGGTGGAGGAGGAGGAGGAGGAGGTGGGAGGAGGAGGAGGAGGAGGAGGAGGAGGAGGAGGAGGAGGAGGAGGAGGAGGAGGAGGGTGAGGCGGAGGCGGAGGCGGAGGCAGAGGCGGAGGAGGAGGAGGAGGAGGAGAAGGAGGAGGAGGAGGAGGAGGAGGAGGAGGAGGAGGAGGAGGTGGAGGATGAGGAGGAGGCGGAGGCGGAGGAGGAGGAGGAGGACGAGGAGGAGGAGGAGGGATGCGGAGGATTGATTTTCTCGATCCTCAAGCCTCGAACCTCGTCCAAGAATCTCTCCTCCTTTCCATCCTCCCCTCCTTCCGCGTTATCCTCCCTCATCCTCCCTTCTCCCTCCCTCCTCCTCCTCGGTGCTCCTCATCCCTCCCCCTCCCCTCCCCTCCCCCTTCCCCTCCTTCTCCTTCCCTTTCCCTCCCCCTCCCTCCACGCACTCGAACGGGACCCTCGCGCGCGCCCGCTACCACCTCCGCTCAAGCGTGCACGCGATACCATAATGTATACGGCAGGGCGAAAGACCGCCGCTGTGTTTTTTACCTTTGCCGCCATGTCTTCTGTCTTTAACCCCTGCCACCCACAATTCCAGTTGCTAGCGGAGCTGGGAACGTTCCCAGCTCGCGATCCACGGACGGCGCAGAGTGCGATGTGGACGCGCATTCGTGCTCCCCCCCTCTCTTCGACGCTAGCACCTTCCACTTCCTGAACAGCTTGTGCGTATGGCTGTTCTGCAAGCGTTCGGGTGATTCGCCCCCGACACTCACCGATACGATGAGGCAAAGTCCAGTCCGTACGAGACGTGAGGAACTGGTTGCGAGGGTATTACCAGCTGCAGGCTACGCTATGTGGGCAAATTGCCCGAGGGAGCGCCACGATGTTCCACGCGATTCATCGCACCCCACAGGTACTGGACGTGGCGCCGCGTCGGGCATGACGGCGAGCCACATCCCTGGGCCATTACGGTGCCTCGTGATGTGTTGGGTTGTGTTGGCTGTCGTGCGGTCGCATCATTCGAGTGGATCACTGAATCATGCACGTATGTCACAACCCCTGGTAATAATCAGTGGCAACAACACCACTGTGGCTGCCACCAGCCTCAACATGGCGTTCGTCTTTGCGCAGGCCCGAGTCCCAATGCGCTTTCGCAGCCTTTCATCGCAGTGGAGTCTTATCGAGTAGGATATCCATATTTGCGCCCTGGGGCAGCATTCTGCTGATCACCAACCTGATGTCGCCGATGCATGTCTTTGCCCCGACTGTGGACCGCAGCTGGCCAGACACGAATCCGGCGAGTGCTGCAGGCACCACGTCCTGATGCAGTCAGTACGACGGTTACGCCACGACCATTGCCCACCTATGTTTTTCGTTTCGTCTGTTTCTTCACCGACCCTTGACCCCCTTCCAGGATGAGGCGTCTAGGCATGCCGTGAGCACCTGCAGCTATCGCACCGCGTGCTGCTCGGATGCCTTGCCACGCATGTCAGCTTCGGTGTAGCCGTTCACATACCCACTGATGTAACAATGATGAGTGCGATTGACAGGTACTCGGGACAGCTGCGTCACTCTCTTAATCGCAAGACCTGCTGCCCCATGCTTTGGTCCATGCTTTGCGCCCTGGCGTTCGGATGCACGATACACAGAGTGTGTAGCTTCAGGCACGCTGACACTTTTGTTGTGCTTGCGGCCGCAAAATGACGTTTCCGCCTTTCGCTGTGCCATTCCGTCTAGGCGCGCGGCCGCGCTGCAATCTGCGCGCCCTCTGCCGCGGCAGCTTCGGACAGAGAAGTGCGCGCCTTTGTCCGATTAGTGGTAGCTGTCATCTCACTCAGGATTCGCTGGCTGGGAGCACCCCTGCGCATTGTCAGTGCGTGGCGGTGCCGGCCTCGTGTCGCGCGCCGCCCCGTGTGCGCCCGCGTGCTGCTCGGCTCGTCCGGCGCATCGTCCATGTTTGGTGATGCAGCCGCGCAAGCACGGTGCGCTATGCCTCGGCGCTCCCGCCCGTCGTGCTACGCGCGCCGGGGTACTGTCTGTGCCTGGCGCTGCCAGCGCGCGCGCCGCGCTATGCCCGCGCGGACCTACGCGCCTTGCAGCGCGCGCTAGACGCTGGTATTCTCAGCGGTGCGCCGGAGCGTGCGCAAAGACAGAGGCGTGCCGCGTTTGTTCCCAACCGCGCGCCGTACGATGCGCGTCTGGGCACCGCTGTGCCCAGTTTTGCGCGTCAGCGCGCGCTGGCTGGCGCGCCCGGCGCACCTGCGCCTGGCCGAGCTCGTCTCCAAGCACTTCTCCGGGCGCCTGCTGGTGCCGATGTTGGCATCTCCCAATCGCACTCAGGCCACAGTCGGCTAAGCCACGCGGGGTGCAGCTCGCAGAGAGGGCTTAGGCGGGCCGGGCCAGCCGGCATGCGATTTGATTCCAGCCCGTGCGCTCGTTTGTCGCATTGCGCGCATTTCTGTGCATCCTCGCGCCGACCCGCCCGCTCAACCACGTCACTGTCTTAGTGGTCAGAACCGTTGAGGCGCGCGCCGGCTTCTTCGGGCGGTGCTGCCGCGCTGCGCGCCGCCATTCAGCTGTGAACTCATCGTCCGGCGCGATCTACCTCCAGCCTGCAACCTGCTGCGGGTCCAGCGCTTAATTCGCCCGGCGCGGAGTCGCCAGCTGGGCCGCCGTCCGGCGGAGGAGCGTTTCCTTTGAAGTGTCGCCGACAGGCTCGACGGCTTGGCGCGCGCCCCCGCGGGCGCGCCCAGTGAGTCCGCGCCGCGAATCTGGCGGTCTGTTTGCGGTCTGCACCTGTAGTTGAGTCGGCGCCAGACGATCCACGGGGGCGAGCTCTGGCGGCGCGCGCGCGGGGGGGTCGGCGAGAGGGCGGGGCTTCTCAGCGGGAAGACGCTTTTTAGGGGGCGCGGGCTATGCATCTATAGGCAATACCCGCGCCTCCTAAAATCAGAAGCAGCTCCCTTTCTTACGAGGCCCCCTCTCTCCCCTGCCCCCCGGCGCGCGCCGCCGGGAGCTCCGCGGGGCTCTCCGCCCCGCCAGGCCAGCGCAGTGCCGAGCACAATGTGCTTGCCTTGTGGACGTATGCGCAGTGGCTTGCAACTGGGGGATATGTTCATGATTTCCGCTTTGTGGCGAGCCTCATTGAACCTCGTGCGCGCGCGTGGGCCCCCTGTGCTTCGGGCGGAGATTCCATGGCGCGCGCGTTCGATCTCGCCGCGGGGTCGGACATGGGGCAGCGCGCCTCTGCCAGGCAGGATTTGGCCCCCCAGTGCGCGCCGCTGATGTGCTGCGGAGGGGTGCTCGGCGCGCCTGGGGCGTCGTCTATGCCTGCTGAGGCAGCTGCGCGAGCGCGGCGCGCTGCGCCGTGGCGCCCCCGGGCAGCGCCGCCAATCGCAGCGCGCTCGAACGCGACGTGCTCGCCGACATGCTGGCGCTGGGTCTCTGGCCAAATCTGGCAGTGCACCCCGCGTGCACAGCGCTGTTTGGCCCTCGCCCAAGCGCGTGCTGCGTCTGCTCTTGCATGCTCGCGCGCTGCGCAAATGCGACCCGGCTCCGCGCTCGCCGCAGACCGCGTTCGATGCGATCGCAATTGAGAATCCGTTCCTTGTCGTCGGTGGCCGGCCAGCCCCCTGTCAGCTGTGGGGGCCTTCTCGCCTCGCGGTTGATCGGCGCCGCGCGGGCGACGGCGCCGACGTCCTCGTCCCAGAGTTCTGGCGGGCGCAACTCGCCAGGCGCTCGGCGGGCGCTGCGCGCGAGCGTTTGGATTTGGTACTTCGGCACCATTTGCGCTGCGAAATGCCGGCGCGGCGGCGCGCCGCCGCAGAAGTCAGCGCTGCGCTGTCGCCCGCGCCTCCTTGCGGGCCGGTCGGCGCGCGTCGCGGTGGCCTGGCGCGTTGGCCGCGGTGTGCTGCGGGTAGACGGCGCGCGGCGGCTGGTTCGACGCTGGCCGCCAGCGCCCATGCTCTTCGAGGAAAGGCAGCGCTAGGGCAATTGGGAACAGCCGGGGAAGGCGCCCGCGCCGCCGCGCTGCTGTTGGCTGCGCCCAGTCAGCGCGCGCCACGCTGGCGCCGCTCGGCGCTCGCATGCCAGCGCGATGTTCAGTCAGCAGCCGTGATAGTCGAGCACCAGCAGCTAGAGACGTACTGCCGCAGACAGCTGGACGATCTGCGTCTGCGCGCCAACGAAGCAACGCGCGCGGGTGCACTCCAGCCGCGAAGTAGCGCAAGCGCCGCAATGGCCAGCCACGCTCGCGGGCACCCACTCGCCAAAGAGTGCCGAATGCGAGCGGCCGCGCCGGCAGTGCGCATTATGCAAAGCCAGGGGGCGGTCCTGGCTAGAAGGAACGACCAATGCCGCGGCGTGAGCGCACGCGGAAAACGGTCTGCGCGGCACCCGCGAGCAGCGCCTTGCTCTTGGCTGCTACGTGACACCGGCCACTGAGCAGGAAAGCGGAGCGAGGAGCTTGTCGGTGAGCTCTCTATGATGCGGGATGCCGTTGCGATCAAACGACCCTGGCCGCAAGCAGCGCATCGCGCGCGTGTGCGTTGGCCATGGGCGAGCATGCGTTGCTCTCGAGGATTCACCTCACAACCGTTCGGGCCGAGTGGAGTCATGGGCAAGGTACGCGAGGCAAGCCGTGGCCAAATTGCTTCGGGGGGTTCCATTGCTGCGTCGCCCCGCCTCGAATAGGACCCGCGCGCGTGTCCGCCGCCACCACGGCTCAAGCGTTCACGCGATATCATGATGCAGAAGACAGGACCGTCGTTATGCTCTTATCATGTCTGCCATGTCTTCGACTTTCCACCCATGCCACCCGCAATTCGAGTCTCATCTCCCCCCTCCCCCCGCCCCCCCCGAAGGGCGCGGAAAGGCCGCCGCGCCGGCGCGGGATTGCTCCCGTTCGCTGCCGCGGATGCCCAGAAGGGAGGCGGGGAAGCCCCGGGCGCCCGTCAGAGAGAGCGGAAAAGGCGGCGAAGGCCGCCGGGCCCTCCCGGGAGAGGGGGTCAAGGTGGGGGGAGGAAGGAGGAAGGAGGAGGGAGGAGGGAGAGGGAAAAAGAAGGAAAAGCGAGGGAGGATGAGAGGACGCGAGGGGGGAGGGAGAACTGGGAGGGAGGAGGGGTAGAAGGGGTAGGAGGATCGTATTTTCGGCAGCAGGCGAGCCAGGACTGCCAGAACCTGGACGAAAGACGAACCGCGGGATGGTGTCGGGGGGCAGAGTTTGACCAGACTTCGGGGTCCGTCGTCGTCGTCGTCGCCGCACAAGGACGACAAGATCGTCTGATGTTTCCCCTCTGTGGGATCTCTGGGATGCTTAGGCTTCCCGTCGCCACTGCTGGATTCCACAAGTGTGCCCAGTGGAATTGCTGGGCGGCCGAATCTAACTGAAGAGCGAGAATGAGCACGAGGGGGAAAGGACAAATAATGAGGACAGAAGGGGAAATTTCTGAGGATGAAGATGAAGGTGATGGTGATGATGATGGTGGTGATGATGCTGGCTGCGATGATGATGATGCTGCTGATGATGATGATGATGATGATGATGATGGTACTGATGATGATGATGGTCATGGTGATGATGATGATGATGATTCTGATGATCATGTCGATGCTCATGCTGATACTGATGCTGATGCTGATGCTGATGATAATGGTGATGGTGATGATGATGATAAAGACGATTCTTGTGGTGATGATGATGAAGTTGCTGCTGATGCTGATGCTGATGCTGATGATGGTGGTGATGATGATGGTGATGGTGATGGTGATGGTCATGGTGATGATGATGATGATGATGATTCTGATGATCATGTCGATGCTCATGCTGATACTGATGCTGATGCTGATGCTGATGATAATGGTGATGGTGATGATGATGATAAAGACGATTCTTGTGGTGATGATGATGAAGTTGCTGCTGATGCTGATGCTGATGCTGATGATGGTGGTGATGATGATGGTGATGGTGATGGTGATGGTGATGGTGATGGTGATGATGATGATGATGATGATGATGATGATGATGATGATGATGATGATGATGATGATGATGATGATGATGATGATGATGATGATGATGATGATGATGATGATGATGATGATGATGATGATGATGATGATGATGATGATGATGATGATGATGATGATTAGGATGATGATGACGATGATGATGATGATGGTGGTGATGATGATGATGATGCTGATGCTGCTGCTGATGATGATGATGAAGTTGCTGCTGATGCTGATGCTGATGCTGATGCTGCTGATGATGATGATGATGGTGATGATGGTGCTGATGTTGTTGTTGTTGTTGATGATGATGATGATGATGATGATGATGATGATGATGATGATGATGATGATGATGGTGATGGTGATGGTGATGGTGATGGTGCTGATGGTGGTGCTGCTGCTGCTGCTGCTGCTGCTGCTGCTGCTGCTGATGATGATGATGATGATGATGAGGAGGAGGAGGAGGAGGAGGAGGAGGAGGAGGAGGAGGAGGAGGAGGAGGAGGAGGAACACACACACAGATGCGGACCAGCAGCAGCAGCAAGGTGTGAGGTCGGTCCTCGACGTCCTGGAGGCGGCGGGCCAGAGGAAGAGTGCCCCCGTCCCCGAGTCGCGGATCTGCCAGCTGTTGTCGACATGTGCCCAGGATTCGCAGCGGCGACCAGAGAATGCCTCCTCGCCCTGGCACATCCGACTCGCGTTGGCCTGCCAGCGAAGCCCGCGGAACATTTGCTTCGATCTCGGCCTTTGGGGGCCCTCGTCGGGCCTCAGGACCATCGGAAATCGATCCAGGGCGACAAAGTGGCCAGGGTGGACACTGGGACGGGTCCGTGGACTAGTTTGGAGCGGATTTTTCCTTGGTGCTCGAGGGTCGAGATTCGAGCGTGCTGGCTCACTCCCAGGGCAACTTGGGCTGCTGGCGTTCAAGTCAAGAGGCTCGCTCCAAGCGCGCCGGCTCGCTCCAGGCGCACATCGCCTCGCCAGCTTTGCCAGCTGCTCAATCCGAGCATGCCAGCGTGCTTCCAGCAGCAGGCACGGGGAGTCGGCGGCCAGTTCAGTTCGAGCGTGCCGGCTTCCAGGCGTGCGGGCTCTCGTGTGTGGCGGGGGCGGGGGGCACCTCTCGCGGGGGGCGGGCTGGCAGAGGAGCGGGCGGGGAGCGGGCTGGCCTCCCCTCTTCTCCGTCCTTCCTATTGTCCTCGTTGTCCTTTCTCGTCTCTTGGCGGCTCACTCTTCTCGTGAAGTACCTTCTTGTCAAGGTGCTCTTGCTGCCGAGGCTGGATTCCGGGGCACTCGCAAGGGCAAACAGGAATGTCGAGGACACAGAGAAGGAAAAGGACACCGCTTCCTCTCAGTCTCTCCTTGCCTCTGTGTCTCATGAAGACGCTGGCCGCGGGGTACAGCCACTTGCAGTACACAAGGTTCGTGTAATCTCTGCTTCTGGCTCTCCTGGTCACGGTCCTCCTGATGCCGGCCGTGTTCTTCCTGATGTACGTGGCCGTGGTCCTCCTGCTGCTGGCCGCTGTCTGGCTGACCGCGGTCCTCTGGCCAGCAGTGATCTGCGGGCTGGCGGCGCCGACCCGTGGTTGCCCGCAGCTGGCACTCTACCCCTGCAAGGGCAAGGGCAAAGACGCTGAGTCCGCCGCGCGGTCAGCGCTCCGTGGGGCGCGCTTGGCGCTTTATTGATGTTCGTTTTGCCCCTTCCTATTCCTGGACCTGGGTCTGGACCCTGGCCATTTCCTGATTCCTGATTCGTCGTCCTTTGTTCTGGCCCCCGCGATGAATGCAACGAAGTGCCGCTTACAACAGCCACTTCGGGCTCTTCTTGTGTCATTTGTTTTGTTCACCTCTCTCTCTCTAGTCTCTTTTCGCGTCACCCCTCTTCTTTCTGCAGTATCTCCGCCCTCTTCCCAGTTACGTTTCGTTTGCTCTTGCTGCTCCTTCTCCTTCCTTTATCTTCCGTCTTTGCTCCGCTGGAGCGCCAGGCAAGGGCAAGCAGAGGGAGCACAGGGGCAAGAAGGCGCTCCGGGTGCGAGTCGAGAACATGCCTCCAGACTTCACCGACCAGGAGAGCTCCTCGTCCTCGTTCTCATCGTCCTCCTCTTCCCTCCTCCCTCCTCTTTGTAACGGAAAAAGCGAGGTACGAGTGATGACATTCTTGTGTAGGGCGAAGCCCTCTAGGGAGGGGTTCCAGGGGAGGGGCGAGAGCCGGGCGCATGCGTCTAATGGCCGCCAGGGGGCCGTTTCCCTCGTATTTCTTCGAGTGAAGCGGCTCGCGGGCGCCTTCCACGGCCCTTTTCCTATTTTTTTTGAGTGAGGGGGCTCAGGGGCCCCAAAACGGCCCAAGTGGGCACCACAACGATTCAAAGACGGCCCCCAAAGAGGTTCGGATGGCCTCCAGACGGTGCAAGAGGGTCTATAGATGGCTCCAGAAACCCTCCAGAGGGCCCTCGAGAGGACCTCAGCAGCCCTCAAACATTGATTTCCTTCAGGTTTTTGCACGTTTTCAGGCCCAGGATGGGCCAAGGACCCAAAGCTCGTCCCAAGACGGCCCCAGAGGCCCCCCAGAGAGGTGGAAAACGGTCCAAGAGCGCCCCCAGACGGCCGAAGAGGGCCCCCAAAAGTTCTAAAAGGGCCCCATGACGACCCCGACGAGGCCCAAGAGACGCTGAAGAACACCATGGCTGCCATCGCGAGACTGGGCGGAAGGAGAAGGAGGAAAGAGGGACATCAGGACAGTCGGGTCGGACAGGAGCGACATGGCGACATGCGGGATTGCGGTATGGGGGATGGGGGATGGGATAGAAGGCGGGGGAATGAATAGCGGGATCGCCTTAGCCTACCAAGTGATTCCTCCATTCCTCCACCTTCCCACCCTCCCACGCTACCCACCCCATTGCCCTGCGGGCCCTACAGGCCATGCAGGCACTTTGGCCTAATGGGCAAATCTAGCCCAATCCATCGATCCTGATTATCCGACCCAGGTGGTGGCGTCGTCAGGATGGGCGCGGGCACGGCCGCCGTTATTTGCGGCCTGTGGGCTGCACCATAAAGTCGTAGAGAGCCCGGGCGTACCCGTCTGCGCGCTTGCGCAGCTTCCCTGCGTTCCTTCCCTCCCTTCCCTCCCTTCGCCCGTCCCTCCCTTCCCTCTCCAATTCCAAACCGCCAGATCCCCAGAAATCCTCGACACCTCGACACCCTCGACCCCTGAACGGACCCCTGAACCGCTCTTCCTGACGCCCTGACGCCGCCCCCCTCCCCAACCCTCCAGGTTCCAGCCACTGCCACCTTGCGCCCCCTAGCCTGCCTAATCTCACATTCGCGTCGCGGTTTGAGGCGCTCGGCGGCGCTCGGCCCAGGGCAGCCGAGCCGCCAAGTCGACGCGTCGACGCGTTGGCGCCAGGGGGGCAGGGGGCAGCTGACTGCATGAGTGCATTGTGCATTGTGCAATTGTGCATGTGGTTGTGGTTCCCGATGCGAGCGCGCGTGGCGTGCGCAACGTGCGTTCGATGGGAGGCGTGGCGGTCTGGCAGTCTGGCCGCCTGGCGTCTGAGAGAGACGCGCGTCGGCTTGGCGGCGCTCCTGTGATTGCGCGAGCTCGCGATCTCTCGATTTTCGACGGCGGCGTGGCGTGGCGCGATGACATGGCTCGGCATGTCGGATGCAGAGGCGGAGACGCGGTCAGACGCAGGGGCGTTGGAGGGCTGGAGGTAGAGGGCAGGCGGGTGAAAGGGTGAAAGGGTGAAAGGGTGCAGTGGCCCGTCAGTCGTTGGACGCTGTGTCGCCGTAGTCCTGGTCAGTCGCGATCGTCGCGATCGTGGCATCGCTTGTGCCTGGTGCCGTTGTTGGATCGCTAGCCTGCTTGCTTATCGACCTGGCTCTAGTGGTCATGGGGTCATGGGGTCATGGGGGTCATGGGGGTCAGGGGGGTCAGTAGGTCCTGGGGCCTGATGTGCACGGGGTATCCAGGTATCCAGGCGAATGAACGACGAGTAACTTCTCACATTCTAACATGCTCACTCTGCTGCTCACACTGATCACACTGATCACACTGACAACGCTCATCCCAGTTTCACAGGACTCTGTCTCTCTCTCTCTCTCGCTCTCCCTCGTTCGGCCCCCAAGAGGCGCCCAAGGGGCGTC